CACCTATCTGACATCGTAGGAATCCTTCCACTTAAGACCTAGCATCAAACCAATATGTTGGACATCTTAGATTGATCAGATAGGCGAATCACAAGACAGGTCAACCATAAGGCTGCCTGAATTATATGTTTTCTTCAGCTGATTCAACCAGGTTGGTCACTCCCATAAAGGTTATGCTATGTCTTAGGGTTGGTGCAGGTACCAGAAACCACTTGCAAGTGGAGGTCTTTGGTCTGCTACCAAACACCTAAACTTGCAATACTTGTCAACAGGATCTTCTTCTATCCATCTTGTAGGACACTCCTGTAAGCCAAGGTTCCTCTAATTGTAGGGATACCCTGCACTTTTCCAAGAATCCCCCACAAAGTGTAGTGTATTCCTATAAGACGCTTCAACAGAAAGAGTAAAAGTGGTGAGAAGATAAATTAGAAGAAACTACTCGGGTTCATACATGTAAATGGATGACCCTTGAATTTGTACTTAGTGCCTATAGGGAAATAATTTGTCCACAAAGATGGGGTACCCTTGAATTTTTAGCCAAACCAGGAACTCTATGACACACCATTTTTTTTTACTCTGGGGGGGGCTGGGGAGGGGGCTGGGGGACCTGGAGTAATCAGGACTGAAACTCACTCCATTGAATTTCAAACCCTTGTGTGTCTAGCGGGTTTCGAACTTGAGAGCTCCCACTAGACACGGTAACCTCACAACCAGCTGGACTGAAATGTTTGGTTTGACACACACCATATTGTCTTCAGTTAAGTGAGAGTTTCTCGGTTCCTGCTCAATTGCAATCCTCAAGAAAGCATAAGAGCAATACAATAAAACAGTATTGGTCCACATGCTTTGGGGTTCTCATGAGAGCTCTAGAATAGACATGCTCTAAGTCTTTCATAAAGGCTGGTTTGTCAGGTAGAGGTCTCCTTGCCTGCAAAAAAAAAAAGACCATTTTGAGGATGACTCTTCTAGAATTTGACCAGCAGGCCTTTTGTTAGCAGACTTTGTGGCAGCCACAGCCAACTAACTACTGGTCGACCATCACCAGCTCAATGCTCGGTGATTTCTTGTTGGCCTGTCTTGCTGACCTGCTAGTTGATCACCACCAACGCCTGATCATTTACCCCACTCGTTCGCGAAGGGGAGTGGCTGGTCGGCGGACGGCCATTGAGACCTATCCGCAGTTTGAACTGGATGGGGAACCGAACCATGATATGATACATCACATGACACATATGGACCATGAAATATGGATAAATTATATGCACCAAATTAAAATTGGTATCTTGATCAAACTACACACCAGTTAATTGTCACATTGGTGTAATAAGATTTATTTGAATAATTGATTATCTGTGTATTTGTTGTTGTTACTATCAAATTGCAGACTGAATCAACTTATGTTTATGTAAAGATTATTTGAAAACAAATTTTATAGAGCAACAAAAAAATAAACAAAAATATTTTGAGTTTCTCCATTGAAATGTTATAGAGCAGCAGGTGTGTTAGGATAGTTAAAAATTAAGATCCACTCAAGATAAAAATGGTGTCTACTTTTATAATCAATTAAATTCACATTTAAAATTAGATAATTATAACTGACATGCAAACATATACACTCAAGAAAAATAAAAAAATACTAGTGTTTGATAAAGCGTAAGCCCCCCCCCCCCCCCTGAAATCATTAAAACAGAGAGGCATTACTATATTACATTTGTTGTTTAGTATCGTCATTTGCTGCTTGAATACACATTATGAAGTATTGCCAATTGGCTGCTTGAAGTTTGACATTGAAATCATTATTTTATTCCACTTTCTGCTTGAATCAATTTTGTGGAGTAAAGCCTCTGTATTTTTAAGGTCTGTTAAATCAGAGAAGCAAATACAGGTCTTATGCTACTAAACATCTGATAACTGGAAAATGCTCCTAAAATAAGGATAGACAAATATCTGTGGAATAAATATCAAAGTTAATTACATCATCAAGCCAACCCAGAGGGTTACTAAGCCACTCTCTAAGAAAAGTATAAGAAAATGCTCTTAAGTCTTAATTTAATTGATCAATATGCCAAAAATGTTACTCAGTAGATCTTCCTGCAACCTGATCACCAACTCTTTTGCATCAACCATAATATGTAACTTGTCAAAGCCCACTTTAGGTGTCAAATTGTAATATGCCATTAAATCAAAGAAACGTTTTCTAGCCTTGACTGATCCAGCATGAACAAGATGAAAGAACTGATAGGAAGGTTATGTAGAAACATTACAGTTCCAAAAGCACATGTTATAGCAGATCCATACTAGCAGAGGTCTAAATAACACAACAAAAATTTAAGAAAAATAGCCAAAAATAACATCCATAAATAACTAATATCAGATGTCCAAAATTTGTAAAGTTCCCAAACCAAGAAGACAGAGTCAGCACAGTCTTCACTACGCTTAGGCACCTCTACTCCTTAGCACCAGTTGATTCCCTACTGCTTTTCTCCAACACTATTGTCTTGGCTACACTGCAGAGGGAGAGAGAAACGAGCGGGTGAGAGCTAGAGAGAGACTGAAAATGGGCTTCGCGCGCAAAATTTAGAACACCTCTATTCTGAAGTGGATGGTTAATTGAGCAAAATTGAATAGGAACAGTAGATTAAAATGGATGGTGGGCAATTAATTTGGATGAAGAAAAGCGGTCACTCTGGACTGACATGAAATTTTTTATATATGTACTCCCATTCCGAAAATGTTTGACAAATCGACTTTTCTCACAATGACAATCAATTTTGACCAATTATATTTTTTAATACGGAATTATTTTGAATAAGAAAGTTATATCAAAATGTTCCTTATTCGAAATATTTTCATAAAAGTGTAAAATTTATAAATTATACATAAATATAATAATTAAAATCATTGTTCAAAGTTTGTCATCATTGATCAAAAGAAATCAATATGTCAAACCTTTTCGTAACGGAGGCAATATATAATATGTACGGAGTATTTGATTTAATTATTACTATTAAGAACATAATTATTATATTGGAGTTGCATGCATATGTACACACTTACCATTGCGGCTAAAAATATACCCTAAAGGAACGTTTTCTTTGAACTTCTTGCCTCGTTAGATGACCACAAAATTTACTTAAATTTGTTATTAGAGCTGGCAACATTTTCCAAAGCAGAAAATAATACAAAACTTCTGAAAATATTTGGATTTTGGAAGTCTTCTTGACATAAGTGATGATTGCCAAACGTCAGAATGAATAAGTTCTAATGGGGCAATACAAGAATGAGTAACATCTTGAAAAGGAAGTCTATGTCATTTACGTATCCGTCCGTAATTGAGGTCTGTGTCAGTTATTAAAGGTTACCGCTGGAAAATCAATAATTGAGGTTTGTCATGGATTCGTCTGTGATAAACTTTTTTTGAATTTTGTCACGGATTTTGTCACGGATCTGTCCGTGACAAATGCCCGTGAGCAAAAAATGTTTTTGCCGGAGAAAAAACCGATCACCGGAGTAAATTTGTCACAGATAAAAGCCGTGACAACGAATTGTCACGGATTTTGTCACGGATTTATCCGTGACAAAACGTATTCGTGACAAATCTCATTTTCCGTGACAAAGCCCGTGACAACTTTGTCACGGTCGTAATCCGTGACAAAAATCCTTGACAAAACGCGAGTTTTTTTGTAGTGTACCCAACTTACAAGAAACACAAATTAAATTATTTTGCCGAAGTTTGTGTAAAATTCTATCACCACAAAGCCCCAAACGTTTGTGTCAACTAGGTCCGAAAACAAGGGTAGCTTGAAAAGCTTGAAATGGGTAGAGATGGTCTTTATTGGAACCCAGAAGTAGATGCACCCATGTCTGATTGTACCTAATAGAAAAAGATTTTTATTAAAGAACACTATTTAATAACTTGAAATATTTATTTAAGGACCATGCAAATTAATCTTGAGCTTTATTTTTCAATAAATCTAGACATAAACCTTGTACCCACTTGACAAAGAAGGGGCAATTTGGGTGGAACAATTCAGCTCAATTAGCACTTGAACTTGTTAAAAAAATATGATCGAAGCCCCACTTCTAAGAGCCATTTGTAGTAGAAACCTATAGCTTACAATTTGTTAAAACTTGGTTCATTAAAGATGACACCGAAACATATTGTTAATATATATAAACCATAAATTTATTTACTTTTTTGAAGCCAAGAATCGATGATAAACCTTTTGGACCATGTTCTTTGGTGTTCAGGGCTCTAAATGAATTTCACATATTAATGCTTCAGTACACCATTCGTCATTTCATTTCATTTTCATTTACCCTAGTGCCACAAAGGCTCCCACCTACGGTGGGGTAAGGGGGGGTCGGATGTACGCAGTCTTACCCCTGTACTAAAGCACAGAGAGACTGTTTCCGGATGACCCATAGTGAAAATCGAGTCCAAAATTGCATGGACTGACTGCTACTTCATAACAAAGAAGTGCAGACAGTTTAGTGAGCCATTTTGCTTTATTCCATCATAATCTCAAACCAAAAAATAATGAATCTTTGGCTCCATTGCAAATGATGGAAAAACTTCAGTACACCATTGGTCTCGTTATTAATTTCTACTTTGATTATACAAGTTGATTAAGAAAGTAAAGATCGCAAATTTTGAAATTTCTAAAATATAATGAGAAATGCATAATAACACAATTACTGGAGTATATTTTATTTAAAAAGAACGAAAAAAAGCCTAGAAATAATAATGGAAATGTCACTTTCATGTTTATCTACACTCTTTTTTTCAATTATAGTTCAGATATGTTGTTTGCATCAGTGTCTTCACCGGTCCTCCCATTATTAAGCTGACTAGTCAAAAGGCGTTTAAAGCTTTTCTAAAAGAGAGAGATTCCGTCGCACGGCTATTACTCGTATACCAGTTTATAGTTTGACCAAAGTGTACACATATACCATGTTTAAAAAGGGAAACATACGTTTCTTTTTTTTACACTTTTTTTGCACGCTGTGCCTATTTTATATGTATATATATAATTCGTTTCAAAAAGACAGAACTATCTTGGTAGCTAGGTTGGGTTGAGGGGCTCTGGAATTGTTAACTAAGCTACTGAACTTGAAGATAAAAGCTACACAAGTATGGAAAGAGGAGAAGCCGTTTGTTCATGAAAAGAGATTACAAGATTCATACAGTTCATTCATAGCAACAAGCTACAAGAAGTATATTTATAGGCTGTAAACATAACAGAATTGTAACAACTATTTTATCTAGAACTTTCCGGATAATTCTTGTTAGTTTTCACACGTGTACATGGCTTCTTTTGTATCCGTTTTATTTTGTATGTGTGCATGAGAAGTATGTAGCGTATGTTTTGAGTGCCAAGACCCCCCCCCCCCCCCCCTCAAGATGAGAGTACAAGTTTTGTACGTTCATCTTGGTTAATAGAGACTGAAAAAGCCCTCTGCCCAGTGGTTTTGTTAACAAGTCAGCAACTTGGTGTTGACTAGGAACAAAAAGGGTATGGATGATGCCAGATTGGACCCAGTCCCTGATGAAGTGACAATCGATTTCTACGTGTTTTGTGCGTTCATGATGAATGGGGTTGGCTGCAAGGGCAATAGCAGATTAGCTATCACAAAAAATGGTAGCTTTGGAAGTAGGAATGTTGAAATCTTTGAACAGTTGTAGCAAACCAATGACTTCAGCAGCTGATGCTGCTAGGGCTCTATACTCTGCCTCAGCTGAACTTCTAGATATTGTATGTTGCTTCTTTGATTTCCATGAAATGAGAGATTCTCCCAAAAACATACAATAGCCTGTGATGGACCTTCTTGTGTCAACACAACTTGCCCAATCTGAATCTGAAAAACCCTTTAACTGTAAATCAGATGATGATAGAGACTTAAGATAACGCAAAACTCTATGTGCAGCAGATAGATGAGATTTTCCAGGTTTCTGCATGAATTGAGCCAATGTACGTGTTGACTGCAAAGCTGATATCAAGTCTGGTGTTTGTCAAGTATAACAACTTTCCCACTAATGATCTGTAAACAGAAGGATCATCTAAGTAATGTTCATCTTGAATGCTTAAGCGAAGCTTGCTATCCATTGGAAAGGAATCTGGTTTACAATCTTGATAACCATATTGAGTTAATAAATCCATGGTGTATTTTCTTTGACAAAGGTACAGACCTTTAGAAGAACGAGACACTTCCAATCCTAGAAAGAATTTAACAGGACCCAAATCCTTGATTTTAAAATGATCATTCAGAAATTTCTTGATGTGTCTGATTTGGTGTATGTCTGAACAAGCCACAAGTATGTCATCAACATACACTAAAAGGATTATGGTAAGATCATCCTTATGAAGTGTGAATAGAGAGTGATCCATACGTGATTGAATGAACCCATATTCCTTCAAGGCACTGGATAATTTGGAAAACCACTGTCTGCTAGCCTGCTTGAGGCCATACAGACTTTTCATTAAACGACAAACTTTATTCTTCTCCTTTTGTTCAAATCCTAGAGGTATTTGCATGTAGACTTCTTCATGAAGATCACCATGAAGAAATGCATTATGCACATCCAATTGCTCTAAGAACCAACCTTTGGAAGCTACAAGAGCCAATAAAAGTCTAACTGTGTTAAACCTGGCAACTGGAGAAAAAGTATCAAGGAAGTCTAAGCCTTCAATCTGTGTGAATCCTTTGGCAACAAGTCTAGCTTTGTATCTCTCTATAGTTCCATCAGCATGATACTTAACCTTGTAAACCCATTTGCATTTAGTAGGAATTTTACCTGGAGGCAAGTCAGTGATAAACCAAGTTCTATTTGACTCAAGGGCATATATTGTCACGCTCCGGACCTACCCGGACACGTCAACAACCCGCCGTACAGTACGAATAGTCAACCGCAGTCCGACTCATCCATACTATACCAGGCGTCTTGAATACCATTCACACATAGTACATCCATAAACAAACATAATGTAAAACATTTATTAAAGCAGCGGAAACAATTGATACAAGTGTTCAAGCCACACTTGGCATAATTAGGCATGCAAGCCCCCAAAGTAATTATTCAGAAAATATTATTCATGAGCATTATTCATATTGTTTTCAAAACAAGAACGGGAGAAGCACGAACCAAGTCTTCTCCTCAGAAACTTCCCGAAGCAGCGGCTGGTAGTAGCAACCTTCAAGTTCTACCTGAAACTGTGAGGTGGCCTCCCCCGTGAAGGGGAGGTCAGTACTTGGAAACATTTAACAAGTACAATGACAACTATACTAAGTATGTCACGCCCCGGACCTACCCCGACACGTCAACAACCCGCCGTACAGTACGAATAGTCAACCGCAGTCCGACTCATCCATACTATACAAGGCGTCTTGAATACCATTCACACATAGTACATCCATAAACAAACATAATGTAAAACATTTATTAAAGCAGCGGAAACAATTGATACAAGTGTTCAAGCCACACTTGGCATAATTAGGCATGCAAGCCCCCAAAGTAATTATTCAGAAAATATTATCCATGAGCATTATTCATATTGTTTTCAAAACAAGAACGGGAGAAGCACGAACCAAGTCTTCTCCTCAGAAACTTCCCGAAGCAGCGGCTGGTAGTAGCAACCTTCAAGTTCTACCTGAAACTGTGAGGTGGCCTCCCCCGTGAAGGGGAGGTCAGTACTTGGAAGTATTTGACAAGTACAATGACAACTATACTAAGTATAATCGAAGTTTAAATCTCTAAGGCCCTCAATCTAGAGCATCATTACATTATAGTTAATCCGTTCATTTAGTATCAATTCATCATTATTTACTACGGTCTAGAGCTCAGCTCATAATCACCGTTATCTACTACGGTCTAGAGCCCCGCTCATAATCACCGTCATCTATTACGGTCTAGAGTCCAGCTCATAATCACCATCATCTACTACGGTCTAGAGCCCAGCTCATAATCACCGTCATCTACTACGGTCTAGAGCCCAGCTCATAATCACCGTTATCTACATCGGTCTTGAGCCCGGCTCATAATCACCGATTCTTTATAATTCAAATTCTTAGGATCTAATTCATCCATTTCTCAACTAACATTTCCAACTAATATTTCAATGCTAGTTATTTATGTATTTCAATATAATTCTTTCTTCTTGCCCAATTGGCCTTAATATCAAGTATCACTTTCATACACTCATAGCTTCTCCTCATGGCATCAAAGTATACTATCTCAAATGATATTCATGGTTGGTACAACCATCATACACACATATTCATAGCATCTAAACATACACAATTTATTCATAAATTTGTGTATCATGCATACTATACTTATAATCAATAGTAGTTTCATTTAGGCATTATTAACCATTAACAACTCATACACATCACATTTGTATTCACTTAGGAAATCCCATGAAATTAACCCAAAGATTATAAGTAACATAGTCGGTCATCCTCACCTTAATTAAGCTTAAGCGCGTTCTACGTTTCTTGATTGAACTTTGACCAACTCCGGCGAACTTTGACCAACTCCGGCGAACTTTGACCAACTCCGACGAAACTCCGGCGAGGCTCAAAAATACTTTAAATCAAGTTCCTAACAAGGTTTTATCATCACAAAACCCATATCAACACAAATAACCTATAAAAGGTTATTTTCCGGCAAACCGGTCGATTTGGCTTCTAAGTCCGTTTTTGGACTTAGAATCACTTTCCAACCCATTATTCCACACTTAAATCATGTAGAACAATACTAAAGGTCTTTCATATGATATATATCTTATATGCTAGAAGAAAAACAAAGGAAAAGTTATGATAAGGTCATTACCTTAATTTTCACACTTTTTCCTAGCTTTTTCCTTCTTAAACTTTCTTCTTGGACTCCCTTGAGCTTGAGTTCGGATTTGGGGCTATGGAGATGAAGTTGTAGAGGTTCTTTCCTCCTTTACCTTGCTGCTGGCCGAACTAGTGAGGAGGGGGATGGGTAGGAATGCCTCTTTGTCTCCTTTTGGGCAATGAGTGAAAGGGAGGAGGGCCACCATGATTTGTTTTGATGCCAAACATCTCAAATCAGTCCTCTCCCACCTCATATCTCTAACCAGCCTGCTAAGGCCCTGAATAATGAGGCTAAAATCGTGGGTTGGCCCCCACCCATGTGGGAGGTCAACCCTTTTTGTCCAGAAGTGTACAATCGGTCTCGAAAGTTGTATTTTTCCGGACTGTTTTAAGTATATTTTATTTTATCTGGTCAAATAAAATATAACACTTGTTCCCAATTCTTAATGTACCTTATAATCAATATGCATCCCTCAACTTTAATTTAGAAGCCTCTGAAATCCCTTTTCGGGCTGTTATCTGATAGATTGCCGATACTGATAATTTGGCCCCGTTTGACCAACCGGTCAACCCTATGCCATTGTCATGGCTCAACTAGGATATCCACCACCATATACATATTATCTAGTCCAAGATCAATATAATATGTGGCCCCGATAATATCGGGCGGTCCCCACTCAAGATGTGGGCCCCACGTGCATTTTACTATTCACGCGAAAAAATTAATACAAATTCACAACTTCGTAAATTCACTAAAAATTTTATAGGGTTCAATAAATTATTAGCTTAAAGATAAATACATTTCGGGACGGTGTTACAAGTTCACCCCCCCTTATTTGGGATTTCGTCCTCGAACTTCACGTGTCTAATCGAAAAGGAAAGGGTACTGCTCCCTCATTGAGACCTCAGTCTCCCAGGTTTCTTCTTCGACTCAATCACTCCTCCAAAGGACATTTACCATAGGTATCTCCTTGTTCCTCAGTTTCTTTACCTGTTGACCCTCAATCTTCACCGGTTCCACCGCATATTGTAGGTCTTCACGTATCTCTACCGGTGGTTTCTCAAGGATATGAGACGGATCTCGCACGTATTTCTTGAGCATCGATACATGGAACACGTCGTGTATCTTCTCATGTTCTGGCGTCAATTTGATACGGTAAGCCACGGCCCCTATCCTTTCAAGGATTTCAAATGGGCCAATGTATCGGGGGTTAAGTTTTCCCCTCGATATAAATCTGATGATACCTTTCCAAGGAGAAATCCTTAGAAAGACCTTATCACCGACCTCAAACTCCAATGGCCTGCGTCGTTTGTCAGCATAACTCTTTTGCCGATCTTGGGCAGCCTTGAGTCTCTCCTGAATGACCTTCACCTTAGCCTTGGTGATTTCGACAAGTTCGATCCCCTCAAGCTTGGCTTCGCCAACCTCGTCCCAACACAACGGGGTTCTAAATTTCCTCCCATACAATGCCTCGTATGGAGGCATGCCAATACTCGCCTGATAACTGTTGTTATAGGCGAACTCGACCAGAGCCAAATGCTTGTCCCAACTCCCTTGGAACTCCAGAGCACATGCCCTAAGCATATCTTCCAGAATCTGTATCACCCTCTCGGATTGCCCATCCGTCTGTGGGTGAAAGGCTGTGCTAAACTTTAGCTTCGTACCCAAAGATGCTTGAAATTTTGGCCAAAATCGGGATATGAAACGTGGGTCCCTATCCGAGACAATGGATATCGGAACTCCATGCAGCCTCACAATCTCCTCCGTGTATAGCTTTGCCAATCTTTCAAGAGGATAAGTAACGTTGATAGGCAAAAAGTGTGCACTCTTGGTGAGCCTATCAACCACTACCCATACTGCATCATAGGTGTTCACTGTTCGTGGTAGCCCCACCACGAAGTCCATGGTCACGTGCTCCCACTTCCATTCTGGAATGGTAAGTGGTTGTAAAAGTCCCGTCGGGTGCTGATGTTCCGCCTTGACTTGTTGGCAAGTAAGGCACCGACTCACGTACTCTGCGATGTCCCTCTTCATACCTGACCACCAGTAACTTTCCTTCAAGTCTCGGTACATTTTAGTACCTCCTGGATGCATGGCATACGCCGAAGAATGAGCCTCCTCCAGTATAGACTTTTGGAGCTCCTCATTCCTTGGTATGCATACACGGCCTTTAAACAATAAAAGACCGTCATCACGTACTCGAAAGTTCTCAACAGGTCCCTCAAGGATCTGTTCACGGATCTTATGACATTCTTCATCAGTGGCCTGACATCTACTGATCTCACTCAGCAATGTAGGCCTAACCTCGAATCTAGCAATGAGGACCCCACTCGTGGACACCTCCACTTGTGCCCTTAGTGAGCGTAGACACGTGAGTAACGTCCCCGATGTACTCTTTCTGCTCAGTGCATCGGCTACTACATTGGCCTTCCCGGGATGATAGTCGATGATCAAGTCGTAGTCCTTGATCAACTCCATCCATCTCCTCTGTCTCATGTTCAACTCTCTTTGAGTGAATACATACTTCAAGCTTTTATGATTGGTGAAAATGTGACACGTCTCCCCATAGAGATAATGCCGCCAAATCTTCAGTGCAAACACTACCGCTCCCAACTCTAGGTCGTGGGTAGGGTAGTTTGCCCCGTGTTTCTTCAATTGCCTTGAAGCATAGGCAATCACCCGACCGTTTTGCATTAGAACACATCCAAGCCCTTGGATACTAGCGTCACTGTATATGTCGTACCCTATCCCTTGTGTGGGTAGAGCGAGGACTGGTGCTTCTGTAAGCCGTCTCTTTAGTTCGAGAAACCCTTTCTCACAATTGTCGCCCCATATGAACTTGGCCCATTTCTTTGTGAGCTTTGTCAATGGAGACGCCAATACAGAAAATTTTTCAACAAACTTACGATAATATCCTGCTAAACCGAGGAAAGTACGTATTTCTTTCACGTTTTTGGGTCTCTCCCAATTCATAATGGCTTCTATCTTGGCTTTATCCACCACAATGCCCGAACCTGACACGACATGCCCGAGGAACCCGATCTCTTTGAGCCAAAACTCGCATTTAGAGAATTTGCCAAAGAGTTGTTTTTCGCTTAGCCGTTCAAGTACAAGTCTCAAATGATCTTCATGCTCCCCCTCACTCTTGGAGTATATCAAAATATCGTCAATGAATACTATCACGAATTGATCTAAGTATTCACTGAACACACGGTTCATCATGTCCATGAATGCCGCCGGGGCGTTGGTTAGCCCGAACGACATGACTAGGAACTCGAAATGACCATACCTTGTGCGGAATGCACTCTTCGGTATGTCATCTTCCTTTATTTTCAGTTGGTGGTACCCCGACCTAAAGTCAATCTTCGAAAACACCGTCGCCCCTCGGAGCTGATCAAACAAGTCATCAATTCTAGGCAAGGGATACCTATTTTTGATTGTGACCTTGTTCAGTTGACGATAGTCAATGCACATACGAAGTGTTCCATCCTTCTTTTTCACGAAAAGGACCGGTGCTCCCCACGGAGAGTGACTCGGCCTTATGAAACCGTTATCCAATAGCTCTTGCAATTGGGTTTTCAACTCGTTAAGTTCAGCGGGTGCCATTCTGTATGGCGGTATAGAGATTGGTTTGGTGCCGGGTTCGACCTCGATCACGAACTCAATCTCCCTATCGGGTGGAAGTCCCGGCAAGTCTTTCGGGAAGACATCCGGATACTTCCACACAACTCTCACATCATTGATGTCTATCTCTTCTTTGGTTTTGTCCACCACATACGCTAGGTATGCGTGGCACCCCTTTCTCATCATATTCCTTGCTCTCACGGCGGATATGATACAACAGTTTGATTTGCCTCTATCTCCCTCGAAGCGTAAGGTCAACCCTTCGCCGCTTTCGAGTTCAAAAACCTTCGTGTAGCAATCGACCCTAGCATGATGTTTCTCAAGCCAATCCATTCCTAGAATTGCATCGAACTCGAGCATACTCAGCGGTACGAGGTCACACGTCAAAGTTTGGCCCTCCACTTCCACCCCACACGATGGATAGTGGCTATCTCTCTCGATATCATCCCCTAAAGGCGTGGACACCAATAGGGTTTGAGTCATCGGTACAAGTGGTCCGTTGAATCCGCTGGCGAACACCTCACTCACAAATGATCGTTGCGCCCCAGTATCAATAAGGATTCTTGCGTCTCTCCCGTTTATCCTTAGTGTTCCTACATTCATAAGTAATGTAAGACACACTATCAAATAAATTGGTTCGTTTCTTAAGTCGTAGAGTATGTTGGATGCGTTTCGGGTGGGGTCCATTCGATAGCCTCCCGAAATTTCCCGGTTTCTAACATTTAGGACCGTTTTAGGATCAATCCGGGTGAAAGCCGGCCGCTTTTCACGAAAGCCGGCCGCTTTTCGACTGCGAGAAAAATTCTAAGTTTTTAATCACGAAAGCCGGGCGGCTTTTACGAAAGCCGGGCGGTTTTCGTCGCCGTAGTTTTATTCAGGGAATGGTTTCGAAGCCGGCCGGTTTATACGAAACCCGGCCGGGTTTCTGCAGCGCAGGAATTCCTAGGCCCGACGAAAGTCGGGCGGCTTTCGCCAAAGCCGGGCGGCTTTCAGCTGCGAGAAAATTCTCAGATCAGGCCTTTATGAAAGCCGGCCGGTCTTTACAAAAGCCGGCCGGTTTTTGGTTGCGAGGATTTTCCTGATTAATTGATGACGAAAGCCGGGCGGCTTTTGGTGGAAACCGGCCGACATTCGTCGCCGCAACATTTTCTCAACATTTCAAGACGAAAGCCGGGCGGCTTTCGTCAAATGCCGGGCGGCATTCGCCCAGGGCGGGGGTTTTTTTCCTCCCCTTTTTCCCACAATCCCGACCAAACCGCCGAGGTTACAAATTTTGCACCTTACAAACACTCCTATTGCATACAATGGTGTAATATCGTGAGTTTAAGATCTTACCTGCCACGGAGTCCGGATTAGCACGTGCGTCCGCCTCCGTCATCGCATAAACTCTAGCTTGAGTTCTTCCTTGATTGACGGACGGCGCATTACTCGTGCTTGTTCCCCCCTGGCCCACACTGGCATGAGATGCTCCGGCCCGGTTCCTACTTGCCGTGGTAGCGCCGCTTGGTCCTGACCCCCGGTTCCCACCAAGTTGAGGGCAGTTTGGCTTAATATGCCCTGTACTCCCGCATTGGTAGCACCGTGGCGGATCACGACACTTACCGGTGTGGTTCCTGTTGCAATTCCTGCACCTGGGCGCCGTCGGGGCTTGTGAGCCCGAGTAGTGCCCGCTCGTGGCCGGGTTTCCCTTGGATGGTGCTGCCGGTGCCCTGAACGATCCACCTCCCCCGTGGTTCCCCTTCTTATTGGGACCTTGGGGGCCATGGCTTTCCCACTTTCTTTTCTTAGCCTCTTCGGCATCTCTCTTCTTCCTCTCCTCCCATTGCTTTTCTCCCTTCAACCCTTAGGCAACCACTTGGCTGAAAGTCATATTGGGCAATTGAGTTGCCCTGTCACGTATCTCCAAGTCCAAGGCCTCCCAAAAATGATTCACCATTCGGTTTTCATCACAAGTATACTCCGGTATGTGATCAACAAGGTCTCTGAACTTGTTCTCAAGTTCTTTCACCGTCATGTTACTGCCTTGGGTTAGGAGAGTGTATTCCCTCACCTTGGCGTTTACTTTGAAGTCAGAGTAGTACTGGGCAAAGAATTCTTGTCGGAAATCCTCCCATGTAACAGTTCCGCCATACTTACCCTTGGTTCCATCTCACCATTTGGATGCCAACCCCTCGAGTAACCTTACCGCGATTCTCAGTTTAAAATCGGGGGTGAGCTGCATGTCAAGGGCTGCCTCGTTCAGCCTCTTGATCCACTGGGCGGCAACCGAGATGTCTCCCGTCCCATCGAACGGTTTGCACCCTAAGTCCCTCGCCTCCTTGATGTATTTGGAGATCCTTATGGCTGGACCTCCATCGCCCCGACCTCCATGTGCTTCCACATGGGTTCTCGAATCGCAAAAGCTCCTCTCTCTTGGAGCCCCGCCCGAAGGTTGCCCTGCACGGTGCCTTCGGCGTGCCCTCCTCTCTTCGCGCTCCCGATGATACTGTTGGAGCAGCGCTTCGATCCTGGCCAAGGAGCCACTTTCCTCCTCATCACTCACATCATCATCATCCCCTTCGTAAGGGGTCTCTACTGGCTCAGTCCCCGGCTGGTAGGTTGAGTCCTCATAGGACCAATAAGTCTCACTCTCGGTATCAACGTGGCCATCGCTCACGGTTTGACGTTGGCCTCCACAGCCCCTTCCTCTTGATCCCCTAGAGGACCCCCGGCTACCGCGCTCGGACCCACCCGGTGCACGGCCCAATGGGTTCCTTCTAGTGATCCTTCCAACTGGTTCCATTTCTGAAAGAAATTAGAATGAGTCATTAGACTCGTATCGAACGTCAAATGACGGACGGGTACTTAAAGACATCCTTCGGCTCAAATCACCGTCATACCAATTGTTAAGGGTACCATCTTAACAATTAGAGGCATTGCAACTCAAGTACCAAAAGTTCTATAAGTACAAAACTTATGCTCATGGTTTTTCAAATTCATTTTCAAAACGAAATTTTGAAGCTTCATTATGATGTTTACGGACTAAGGTCTCTGATACCATTTAAATTGTCACGCCCCGGACCTACCCGGACACGTCAACAACCCGCCGTACAGTACGAATAGTCAACTGCAGTCCGACTCATCCATACTATACAAGGCGTCTTGAATACCATTCACACATAGTACATCCATAAACAAACATAATGTAAAACATTTATTAAAGCAGCGGAAACAATTGATACAAGTGTTCAAGCCACACTTGGCATAATTAGGCATGCAAGCCCCCAAAGTAATTATTCAGAAAATATTATCCATGAGCATTATTCATATTGTTTTCAAAACAAGAACGGGAGAAGCACGAACCAAGTCTTCTCCTCAGAAACTTCCCGAAGCAGCGGCTGGTAGTAGCAACCTTCAAGTTCTACCTGAAACTGTGAGGTGGCCTCCCCCGTGAAGGGGAGGTCAGTACTTGGAAGTATTTGACAAGTACAATGACAACTATACTAAGTATAATCGAAGTTTAAATCTCTAAGGCCCTCAATCTAGAGCATCATTACATTATAGTTAATCCGTTCATTTAGTATCAATTCATCATTATTTACTACGGTCTAGAGCCCAGCTCATAATCACCGTTATCTACTACGGTCTAGAGCCCCGCTCATAATCACCGTCATCTACTACAGTCTAGAGCCCAGCTCATAATCACCGTCATCTACTACGGTCTAGAGCCCAACTCATAATCACCGTCATCTACTACGGTCTAGAGCCTAGCTCATAATCACCGTTATCTACATCGGTCTTGAGCCCGGCTCATAATCACCGATTCTTTATAATTCAAATTCTTAGGATCTAATTCATCTATTTCTCAACTAACATTTCCAACTAATATTTCAATGCTAGTTATTTATTTATTTCAATATAATTCTTTCTTCTTGCCCAATTGGCCTTAATATCAAGTATCACTTTCATACACTCATAGCTTCTCCTCATGTCATCAAAGTATACTATCTCAAATGATATTCATGGTTGGTACAACCATCATACACACATATTCATAGCATCTAAACATACACAATTTATTCATAAATTTGTGTATCATGCATACTATACTTATAATCAATAGTAGTTTCATTTAGGTATTATTAACCATTAACAACTCATACACATCACATTTGTATTCACTTAGGAAATCCCATGAAATTAACCCAAAGATTATAAGTAACATAGTCGGTCATCCTCACCTTAATTAAGCTTAAGCGCGTTCTACGTTTCTTGATGGAACTTTGACCAACTACGGCGAACTTTGACCAACTCCGGCGAACTTTGACCAACTCCGACGAAACTCCGGTGAGGCTCAAAAATACTTTAAATCAAGTTCCTAACAAGGTTTTATCATCACAAAACCCATATCAACACAAATAACCTATAAAAGGTTATTTTCCGGCAAACCGGTCGATTTGGCTTCTAAGTCCGTTTTTGGACTTAGAATCACTTTCCAACCCATTATTCCACACTTAAATCATGTAGAACAATACTAAAGGTCTTTCATATGATATATATCTTATATGCTAGAAGAAAAACAAAGGAAAAGTTATGATAAGGTCATTACCTTAATTTTCACACTTTTTCCTAGCTTTTTCCTTCTTAAACTTTCTTCTTGGACTCCCTTGAGCTTGAGTTCGGATTTGGGGCTATGGAGATGAAGTTGTAGAGGTTCTTTCCTCCTTTCCCTTGCTGCTGGCCGAACTAGTGAGGAGGGGGATGGGTAGGAATGCCTCTTTGTCTCCTTTTGGGCAATGAGTGAAAGGGAGGAGGGCCACCATGATTTGTTTTCATGCCAAACATCTCAAATCAGTCCTCTCCCACCTCATATCTCTTACCAGCCTGATAAGGCCCTGAATAATGAGGCTAAAATCGTGGGTTGGACCCCACCCATGTGGGAGGTCAACCCTTTTTGTCCATAAGTGTACAATCGGTCCCGAAAGTTGTATTTTTCCGGACTGTTTTAAGTATATTTTATTTTATCGGGTCAAATAAAATATAACACTTGTTCCCAATTCTTAATGGACCTTAGAATCAATATGCATCCCTCAACTTTAATTTAGAAGTCTCCGAAATCCCTTTTCGGGCTGTTATCTGATAGATTGCCGATACTGATAATTTGGCCCCGTTTGACCAACCGGTCAACCCTATGCCATTGTCATGGCTCAACTAGGATATCCACCACCATATACATATTATCTAGTCCAAGATCAATATAATATGTGGCCCCGATAATATCGGGCGGTCCCCACTCCCGATGTGGGCCCCATGTGCATTTTACTATTCACGCGAAAAAATTAATACAAATTCACAACTTCGTAAATTCACTAAAAATTTAATAGGGTTCAATAAATTATTAGCTTAAAGATAAATACATTTGGGGACAGTGTTACAAAGTATAATCAAAGTTTAAATTTCTGAGGCTCTCGATCTAGAGCATTATTACATTATAGTTAATCCGTTCATTTAGTATAAATTCATCATTTATTTACCACGGTCTAGAGCCCAGCTCATAATCACCGTTATCTACTACGGTCTAGAGCCCCGCTCATAATCACCGTCATCTACTACGGTGTAGAGCCCAGCTCATAATCACCGTCATCTACTACGGTCTAGAGCCCAGCTCATAATCACCGTCATCTACTACGGTCTAGAGCCCAGCTCATAATCACCGTCATCTACATCGGTCTTGAGCCCGGCTCATAATCACCGATTCCTTATAATTCAAATTTTTAGGATCTAATTCATCCACTTCTCAACTGACATTTCCAACTAATATTTCAATGCTAGTTATATATTTATTTATTTAGGTATCTTTCACGTTTTTGGGTCTCTCCCAATTCATAATGGCTTCTATCTTGGCTTTATCCACCGCAATGCCCGAACCTGACACGACATGCTCGAGGAACCCGATCTCTTTGAGCCAAAACTCGCATTTAGAGAATTTGGCAAAGAGTTGTTTTTCCCTTAGCCATTCAAGTACAAGTCTCAAATGAGCTTCATGCTCCCCCTCACTCTTGGAGTATATCAAAATATCGTCAATGAATACTATCACGAATTGATCTAAGTATTCACTGAACACACGGTTCATCATGTCCATGAATGCTGTCAGGGCGTTGGTTAGCCCGAACGACATGACTAGGAACTCGAAATGACCATACCTTGTACGGAATGCACTCTTCGGTATGTCATCTTCCTTTATTTTCAGTTGGTGGTACCCCGACCTCAAGTCAATCTTCGAAAACACCGTCGCCCCTCGGAGCTGATCAAACAAGTCATCAATTCTAGGCAAGGGATACCTATTTTTGATTATGACCTTGTTCAGTTGACGATAGTCAATGCACATACGAAGTGTTCCATCCTTCTTTTTCACGAAAAGGACCGGTGCTCCCCACGGAGAGTGACTCGGCCTTATGAAACCGTTATCCAATAGCTCTTGCAATTGGGTTTTCAACTCGTTAAGTTCAGCGGGTGCCATTCTGTATGGCGGTATAGAGATTGGTTTGGTGCTGGGTTCGACCTCGATCACGAACTCAATCTCCCTATCGGGTGGAAGTCCCGGCAAGTCTTTCGGGAAGACATCCGGATACTTGCACACAACTCTCACATCATTGATGTCTATCTCTTCTTTGGTTTTGTCCACCACATACGCTAGGTATGTGTGGCACCCCTTTCTCATCATATTCCTTGCTCTCACGGCGGATATGATACAACAGTTTGATTTGCCTCTATCTCCCTCGAAGCGTAAGGTCAACCCTTCGCCGCTTTCGAGTTCAAGAACCTTCGTGTAGCAATCGACCCTAGCATGATGTTTCTCAAGCCAATCCATTCCTAGAATTGCATCGAACTCGATCATACTCAGCGGTACGAGGTCACACGTCAAAGTTTGGCCCTCCACTTCCACCTCACACGATGGATAGTGGCTATCTCTCTCAATATCATCCCCTAAAGGCGTGGACACCAATAGGGTTTGAGTCATCGGTACAAGTGGTCCGTTGAATCCGCTGGCGAACGCCTCACTCACAAATGATCGTTGCGCCCCGGTATCAATAAGGATTCTTGCGTCTTTCCCGTTTATCTTTAGTGTTCCTACATTCATAAGTAATGTAAGACACACTATCTAATAATTAGGTTCGTTTCTTAAGTCGTAGAGTATGTTGGTTGCGTTTCGGGTGGGTTCCGTTCGATACCCTCCCGAAATTTCCCGGTTTCTAACCTTTAGGACCGTTTTAGGATCAATCCGGGTGAAAGCCGGCCGCTTTTCACGAAAGCCGGTCGTTTTTCGACTGCGAGAAAAATTCTAAGTTTTTAATCACGAAAGCCGGGCGGCTTTTACGAAAGCCGGGCGGTTTTCGTCGCCGTAGTTTTTATTCAGGGAATGGTTTCGAAGACGGCCGGTTTATACGAAACCCGGTCGGGTTTCAGCAGCGCAGGAATTCCTAGGCCCGATGAAAGCCGGGCGGCTTTCGCCAAAGCCGGGCGGCTTTCAGCTGCGAGAAAATTCTCAGATCAGGCCTTTATGAAAGCCGGCCGGTCTTTACAAAAGCCGGCCGGTTTTTGGTTGCGAGGATTTTCCTGATTAATTGATGACGAAAGCCGGGCGGCTTTTGGTGGAAACCGGCCGGCATTCGTCGCCGCAGCATTTTCTCAACATTTCAAGATGAAAGCCGGGCGGCTTTCGTCAAATGCCGGGCGGCATTCGCCCAGGGCGGGGGTTTTTTCCTCCCCTTTTTCCTACAATCCCGACCAAACCGTCGGGGTTACAAATTTTGCACCTTACAAACACTCCTATTGCATACAATGGTGTAATATCGTGAGTTTAAGATCTTACCCGCCACGGAGTCCGGATTAACACGTGCGTCCGCCTCCGTCATTGCATAAACTCTAGCTTGAGTTCTTCCTTGATTCACGGACGGCGCATTACTCGTGCTTGCTCCCCCCTGGCCCACACTGGCATAAGATGCTCCGGCCCGGTTCCTACTTGCCGTGGTAGCGCCGCTTGGTCCTGACCCCCGGTTTCCACCAAGTTGAGGGCAGTTTGGCTTAATATGCCCTGTACTCCCGCATTGGTAGCACCGTGGCGGATCACGACACTTACCGGTGTGGTTCCTGTTGCAATTCCTGCACCTGGGCGCCGTCGGGGCTTGTGAGCCCGAGTAGTGCCCGCTCGTGGCCGGGTTTCCCTTGGATGGTGCTGCCGGTGCCCTGAACGATCCACCTCCCCCGTGGTTCCCCTTCTTATTGGGACCTTGGGGGCCATGGCTTTCCCACTTTCTTTTCTTAGCCTCTTCGACATCTCTCTTCTTCCTCTCCTCCCATTGCTTTTCTCCCTTCAACCCTTAGGCAACCACTTGGCTGAAAGTCATATTGGGCAATTGAGTTGCCCTGTCACGTATCTCCAAGTCCAAGGCCTCCCAAAAATGATTCACCATTCGGTTTTCATCACAAGCATACTCCGGTATGTGATCAGCAAGGTCTCTGAACTTGTTCTCAAGTTCTTTCACCGTCATGTTACCGCCTTGGGTTAGGAGAGTGTATTCCTTCACCTTGGCGTTTACTTCGAAGTCAGAGTAGTACTGGGCAAAGAATTCTTGTCGGAAATCCTCCCATGTAACAGTTCCGCCATACTTACCCTTGGTTCCATCCCACCATTTGGATGCCAACCCTTCGAGTAACCTTACCGCGATTCTCAGTTTAAAATCGGGGGTGAGCTGCATGTCAAGGGCTGCCTCGTTCAGCCTCTTGATCCACTGGGCGGCAACCGAGATGTCTCCCGTCCCATCGAACGGTTTGCACCCTAAGTCCCTCGCCTCCTTGATGTATTTGCAGATCCTTATGGCTGGACCTCCATCGCCCCGACTTCCATGTGCTTCCACATGGGTTCTCGAATCGCAAAAGCTCCTCCCTCTTGGAGCCCCGCCCGAAGGTTGCCCTGCACGGTGCCTTCGGCGTGCCCTCCTCTCTTCGCGCTCCCGATGATACTGTTGGAGCAGCGCTTCGATCCTGGCCAAGGAGCCACTTTCCTCCTCGTCACTCACATCATCATCATCCCCTTCGTAAGGGGTCTCTACTGGCTCAGTCCCCGGCTGGTAGGTTGAGTCCTCATAGGACCAATAGGTCTCACTCTCGGTATCAACGTGGCCATCGCTCACGGTTTGACGTTGGCCTCCACGGCCCCTTCCTCTTGATCCCCTAGAGGACCCCCGGCTACCGTGCTCGGACCCACCCGGTGCACGGCCCAACGGGTTCCTTCTAGTGATCCTTCCAACTGGTTCCATTTATGAAAGAAATTAGAATGAGTCATTAGACTCGTATCGAATGTCAAATGACGGACGGGTACTTAAAGACATCCTTCGGCTCAAATCACCGCCATACCAATTGTTAAGGGTACCATCTTAACAATTAGAGGCATTGCAACTCAAGTACCAAAAGTTCTATAAGTACAAAACTTATGCTCATGGTTTTTCAAATTCATTTTCAAAAAGGAATTTTGAAGCTTCATTATGATGTTTACGGACTAAGGGCTCTGATACCATTTAAATTGTCACGCCCCGGACCTACCCGGACACGTCAACAACCCGCCGTACAGTACGAATAGTCAACCGCAGTCCGACTCATCCATACTATACCAGGCGTCTTGAATACCATTCACACATAGTACATCCATAAACAAACATAATGTAAAACATTTATTAAAGCAGCGGAAACAATTGATACAAGTGTTCAAGCCACACTTGGCATAATTAGGCATGCAAGCCCCCAAAGTAATTATTCAGAAAATATTATCCATGAGCATTATTCATATTGTTTTCAAAACAAGAACGGGAGAAGCACGAACCAAGTCTTCTCCTCAGAAACTTCCCGAAGCAGCGGCTGGTAGTAGCAACCTTCAAGTTCTACCTGAAACTGTGAGGTGGCCTCCCCCGTGAAGGGGAGGTCAGTACTTGGAAACATTTGACAAGTACAATGACAACTATACTAAGTATAATCAAAGTTTAAATTTCTGAGGCTCTCGATCTAGAGCATTATTACATTATAGTTAATCCGTTCATTTAGTATAAATTCATCATTTATTTACCACGGTCTAGAGCCCAGCTCATAATCACCGTTATCTACTACGGTCTAGAGCCCCGCTCATAATCACCGTCATCTACTACGGTCTAGAGCCCAGCTCATAATCACCGTCATCTACTACGGTCTAGAGCCCAGCTCATAATCACCGTCATCTACTACGGTCTAGAGCCCAGCTCATAATCACCGTCATCTACATCGGTCTTGAGCCCGGCTCATAATCACCGATTCCTTATAATTCAAATTCTTAGGATCTAATTCATCCACTTCTCAACTGACATTTCCAACTAATATTTCAATGCTAGTTATTTATTTATTTCAATATAATTCCTTCTTCTTGCATAATTGGCCTTAATATCAAGTATCACTTTCATACCTTCATGGCTTCTCCTCATGGCATCAAGGTATACTATCCCAAATGATATTCATGGTTGGTACAACCATCATACATACATATTCATAACATCTAAACATACACAATTTATTCATAAATTTGTGTATCATGCATACTATACTTTTAATCAATAGTAGTTCTATTTAGGCATTATTAACCATTAACAACTCATGCACATCACATTTGTATTCACTTAGGAAAATCCCATGAAATTAACCCAAAAATTATAAGTAACATAGTCGGTCATCCTCACCTTAATTAAGCTTAAGCGCGTTCTACGTTTCTTGATTGAACTTTGACCAACTCCGGCGAACTTTGACCAACTCCGGCGAACTTTGACCAACTCCGACGAAACTCCGGAGAGGCTCAAAAATACTTTAAATCAAGTTCCTAACAAGGTTTTATCATCACAAAACCCATATCAACACAAATAACCTATAAAAGGTTATTTTCAGGCAAACCGGTCGATTTGGCTTCTAAGTCCGTTTTTGGACTTAGAATCACTTTCCAGCCCATTATTCCACACTTAAATCATGTAGAACAATACTAAAGGTCTTTCATATGATATATATCTTATATGCTAGAAGAAAAACAAAGGAAAAGTTATGATAAGGTCATTACCTTAATTTTCACACTTTTTCCTAGCTTTTTCCTTCTTAAACTTTCTTCTTGGACTCCCTTGAGCTTGAGTTCGGATTTGGGGCTATGGAGATGAAGTTGTAGAGGTTCTTTCCTCCTTTCCCTTGCTGCTGGCCGAACTAGTGAGGAGGGGGATGGGTAGGAATGCCTCTTTGTCTCCTTCTGGGCAATGAGTGAAAGGGAGGAGGGCCACCATGATTTGTTTTGATGCCAAACATCTCAAATCAGTCCTCTCCCACCTCAACTCTCCTACCAGCCTGCTAAGGCCCTGAATAATGAGGCTAAAATCGTGGGTTGGCCCCCACCCATGTGGGAGGTCAACCCTTTTTGTCCAGAAGTGTACAATCGGTCCCGAAAGTTGTATTTTTCCGGACTGTTTTAAGTATATTTTATTTTATTGGGTCAAATAAAATATAACACTTGTTCCCAATTCTTAATGGACCTTAGAATCAATATGCATCCCTCAACTTTAATTTAGAAGTCTCCGAAATCTCTTTTCGGGCTGTTATCTGATAGATTGCCGACTGATAATTTGGCCCCGTTTGACCAACCGGTCAACCCTATGCCATTGTCATGGCTCAACTAGGATATCCACCACCATATACATATTATCTAGTCCAAGATCAATATATAATGTGGCCCTGATAAAATCGGGCGGTCCCCACTCTCGATGTGGGCCCCACGTGCATTTTACAATTCACGCGAAAAAATTAATACAAATTCACAACTTCGTAAATTCACTAAAAAATTTCATAGGGTTCAATAAATTATTAGCTTAAAGATAAATACATTTGGGGACGGTGTTACATATATTTCATCTTTCATAGCTTGTACCCAGTTGGGATTAGAAGCTGCTTGAGAATAAGTGGTTGGTTCAGTGATATGGGTTTTAGAATTACAGAAGATTTGATGGGATGAAGAGAAATTAGCATAGCTGATATACTGATGCATGGGATGTAAAATCTTACCAGATTTGGAGTTTGTGGATGTAACATCTGCTGAATGGACTTGAGTCAAAGTACATACATAGTCCTGTAAGTGGGAAGGAAGTTTTCTTGGCCTTGTGGATCTGGATAATGGTAATGGATCTTGGTTAAGTGAAGAAGAGTCACTAATGTTGGTGTTGTTTTGTGGAAGTGATGAATCAACAAGGATGGGAGTGTGTTCAGGAGCATTGTTTTCTTGAGTAGGAGTGTTAAAGATGGAGTCATTAGAAGATGAATCATGATTTGTGAAAGGAAAGACTGACTCATGAAAATCAACATCCCGGGATATGAATGTTTGATATGTGTCAAGATCATACAATTTATATCCTTTAGTATGAGCAGGATAACCAAGAAAGATACACCTCCTAGCTCTTGATTGAAATTTATGTTTATGACCAATGAGATTGGAGGCAAAACATAAGCAACCAAATGATCTGAGTAATGAATAGTCAGGTGGGTGATTATGAAAGACTTCAAAAGGTGATTTGTTATCTAGAACCAAAGTAGGTAATCTATTGACAATGTGAACGGCTGTGAGAATACAATCACCCCAAAAAGATAAAGGCAGTTTAGCTTGAAATCTTAATGCCCTGGAAACATTAAGTAAGGTTTGATGCTTTCGTTCAGTGACTCCATTTTGTTGTGGAGTTGACGAGCACTTTGTCACGGTGCGTCAAAATAATTTCAATACTAACACTTATACGTAGTATAGCGTAGTAGAGTTCGTATCCACACGGAAAGGAATAATTCTCTTTTTATGATACTTAGTAAATAAAAGGGGGGATTTGGATTGAGTGATTTAATTTAATTAAGAACTAAGATGAACAACCTATATGTGCTTAATTCAAAGATAAAAAGGACTTGGCATTGCTACTTTCCACTTGTTGATATATTTTAGTCGATCATTGTTATATCTATAACTTATTCCCCCTCGAATACTCAATCGGGGAGTATATCCACTTCATCGAGGGTAGTTATTAACAACGACCGTTCATTAATAACCCTTACTATTAATCAAATATAGAACAACGCCTTACACCGATTTAATAGTAGCATTTAATCTTTCTAACTCCTTGATGAAATCAATTGAGATTGATAACCTCAACACAACGGTTTCGGTTTAACCAACAAATTAATCCCTCTTAAGTTTATTAACCACGACCGTGCATTAATAAACCGAAGTTACTTACTTGTGAAACCATCAACGATTAACCATCGGTTCGTTGATCGTTTCTAGTAATATTTAATATATGAAACAAAACTAGTTGATCCTTTAAGTAATGTTCAAAATATAAATATGAAATATGAGTAGGAATCAATTAATATTCAAGGACGAATATTATTAAAGAAGATGAATCCTACTATAATTAATATCAAGATGTTGACTAATTGTCATCTTAGCAACACTCCCCAACATTAATATAGAGGAAGAAAATACCATTCTAACTAATGTCGAGATGTTAACTAATTGTCATCTTAGCAACACTCCCCAACATTAATATAGAGATGATATTAAGGAAAGAACTATTAATTAATATTCAAGGAAAGAAGTTAAGAAAATAACTCACAACTTTAATAATCAACAAGCTTCAAGAGCAACACCAAGAATGGAAGTTTAGCTCCTCATTTGGAGACTAAACATAGCTAGAAAAATATAAAGAAATGCTATTCTAAACTGAGCTAAAGAGTATGGAAGAAGAGATTGATTTTTAGAGGAGAAAAAGAGTGCTATTTATAGGTGTTTTTCAACACCTTTGGCCGGGTACCCGACCGAGTATAGGTACATACCCGACCGGGTACCGGTCAAAATCAGATAATCTTCCACGTTTTTGTGTTCCAACACGTTAAATTGTCCCGGGTCAAGTCAGACCCGATCGGGTCAAGTAAGGGACCCGACCGGGTTTGGTCTAAATCAGATTTTTCCAAATCTTTGTGATCT